TATCTCAGGACACGTTTCAAATAGAGCAGGTCTAGACCGAACTCCTTATAACATTATTTACAGAAACCCAACCAGTTCCCACCATGAGCAAGCAACTTACAACCAACAGACTGACCAAACAACTGAACAAAAAATCAACCAACCACCATCAACCTATCAGTCGGACTGTACCATCCACACAGTCTACAGGTCGACTGTTTGAGCACTCGGACTGTACCATCCACACAGTCTACAGGTCTGTTTGAGCACTCAGACTTTCTGTTGGTTTCCTGCCTGCAGGCGGCTGTTAGTGCTGTGAATGAGAAACAAAAAGAAAAGGTCCCAACAGAGAAACCAGAGAAGGACCCAGATAACCAACCATGCAGACCAACAAACTGTCGCACAGAGACAGAAAATGTCACATATAAATAGAAACTGAATGTGAGCGGCTAATAAACTTTTTGAATGTTGGACACTGAGACAGTTATCATCATTGATTCCATAAATCACAGAACCTTTATCTTCAACCTTTGAAAGAATCATCAGAGTAAACAGCTGAGACCCTCTAACAAACAAACAAACAAACAAACAAACAAACAAACGTGACCTCAGCTGCTACCCACAGACCACAGTTGTGATAACATCTGCTCTCAGATTAAAGCAGAACTCAATAATAACAATAATAATAGTATTTATAGGCTATTAGACCTGTCTCTCTCTCCTGCAGTGTAAACCAGGGTTAGGGTTAACCCACCTCCACAGGACCACCTTTACATCCAGGTTCAAACTGCCCATCCAGGATTTACAGACACTGACTGCAGTTCGGTTTCTCTGACACAAAAACTCAATGAACTAACTCACAAAACATTCAGTTCAGTTTCAGTCAGAACTTCAGTTTCTATTTGTAGAGCAAAATATAAATATAATATAAAATACTGATAAAGTTCAGTCTCTGCCTTATTTCTACTTCCTGTTTACAGTGACACACACACACCTATACATACACACACACACAAACACATACACACACACACACACAATGTTTCAGATATTCAGAGAATTCGTTTTTAAAATACTCGTGTCTGTCTGGACAATATCCCAGAATCTCTCTGTCTCACTCTCTCTGTGTCTCACTCTCTCACTGTCTCAC